AAAGCCCCCAGGAAATGGTTTCAGACAAAGAGATGGAGAGGACTGAACTGGCCAGCAATGAGTCCAGATCTCCACCCCATAGAGCTCCTGTGGAGAGATCTCAGAACAGCAGTTGGGAAAAGGAACCCTTCCAATCTGAGAGACCTGGAGCAGTTGGAGAAAGAAGAGCGATTCAAAATTCCGGAAGAGATGTGGAAGAAGCTCATTGATGGTTACAGGAAGCCATTGGTTTCAGTTATTGTTTCCAAGGGGCGTGTTACCAAATGTTACATGGAGGGTGCCAATAATTTTGTCCAGTCCATTTTTGGGGTTTTTTGTGTAATGCGTCAGATTTGGATATTCGTTTCTCCACTTTTTGGTGTCATACCGATACAAACAGAAGAAATAAACTCGAGAATGCCGAAACATTTGTCATTGCAACAATTTTCTGGGTGAAGTGGTGCGTTATCCATCAGTAAGTTCCTTCCACCTCTCTACTGGAATTTTGGATCGCTCTTCTTCCACCAACTGCTCCAGGTCTCTCAGATTGGAAGGGTTCCTTTTCCCGACTGATGTTCTGAGATCTCTCCACAGGAGTTCTATGGGATTAAGATCTGGACCCATTGCTGGCCAGTTCAATCCTCTCCAGCGCTTTGAAAGCATTTCTGGGGGCTTTTTGGCGTGTGCTTTGGGTCCCTGTCCTGCTGTAAGACCCATGACCTCTGAAAAACAATGGAATGTCGGGCTTTACCAAGAAGCTGTAATTGTATTTTGTCTGTCCACAGTACATTCTCCCAAAGGGAGTTTGGCTTCCTCAGCTAAGTTTTGTCAAATTCCAATCTGGCTTTTATATGTTTCTGTGTCAGCAGTGGGGTCCTCCTGGTCTCCTCCCATATTTCTGTGTCAGCAGTGGGGTCCTCCGAGGTCTCCTACCATATTTCTGTGTTAGCGGTGGGGTCCTCCTGGGTCTCCTCCCATATTTCTGTGTCAGTAGTGGGGTCCTCCTGGTCTCCCACCATATTTCTGTGTCAGCAGTGGGGTCCTCCTGGGTCTCCCACCATATTTCTGTGTCAGCAGTGGGGTCCTCCTGGGTCTCCCACCATATTTCTGTGTCAGCAGTGGGGTCATCCTGGGTCTCCCACCATATTTCTGTGTCAGCAGTGGGGTCCTCTTGGGTCTCCCACCATATTTCTGTGTCAGCGGTGTGGTCCTCCTGGGTCTCCGACCATATTTCTGTGTCAGCGGTGGGGTCCTCCCGGGTCTCCGACCATATTTCTGTGTCAGCGGTGGGGTCCTCCTGGGTCTCCGACCATATTTCTGTGTCAGCAGTGGGGTCTTCCTGGGTCTCCCTCCATATTTATGTGTCAGCAGTGGGGTCCTCCGGGTCTCCTACCATATTTCTGTGTCAGCGGTGTGGTCCTCCTGGGTCTCCGACCATATTTCTGTGTCAGCAGTGGGGTCCTCCTGGGTCTCCGACCATATTTCTGTGTCAGCGGTGGGGTCCTCCTGGGTCTCCGACCATATTTCTGTGTCAGCAGTGGGGTCTTCCTGGGTCTCCCCCCATATTTATGTGTCAGCAGTGGGGTCCTCCGGGTCTCCTACCATATTTCTGTGTCAGCAGTGGGGTCTTCCTGGGTCTCCTACCATATTTCTGTGTCAGCAGTGGGGTCCTCCTGGGTCTCCTACCATATTTCTGTGTCAGCAGTGAGGTCCTCCTGGGTCTCCTGTCAGCAGTGGGGTCCTATTGGGTCTCCCACCATATTTCTGTGTCAGCGGTGGGGTCCTCCTGCGTCTCCTCCCATATTTCTGTGTCAGCGGTGGGGTCCTCCTGCGTCTCCTCCCATATTTCTGTGTCAGCAGTGAGGTCCTCCTGGGTCTCCTACCATATTTCTGTGTCAGCAGTGAGGTCCTCCTGGGTCTCCCCCCATATTTATGTGTCAGCAGTGGGGTCCTCCCGGGTCTCCTACCATATTTCTGTGTCAGCAGTGAGGTCTTCCTGGGTCTCCTACCATATTTCTGTGTCAGCAGTGGGGTCCTCCTGGGTCTCCTACCATATTTCTGTGTCAGCAGTGGGGTCCTCCTGGGTCTCCCACCATATTTCTGTGTTAGCAGTGGGGTCCTATTGGGTCTCCCACCATATTTCTGTGTCAGCGGTGGGGTCCTCCTGCGTCTCCTCCCATATTTCTGTGTCAGCGGTGGGTCCTCCTGCGTCTCCTCCCATATTTCTGTGTCAGCAGTGAGGTCCTCCTGGGTCTCCTACCATATTTCTGTGTCAGCAGTGGGGTCCTCCTGGGTCTCCTCCCATATTTCTGTGTCAGCAGTGGGGTCCTCCTGGGTCTCCTACCATATTTCTGTGTCAGCAGTGGGGTTCTCCTGGGTCTCCTCCCATATTTCTGTGTCAGCAGTGGGGTCCTCCTGGGTCTCCTACCATAATGTCCCTTTTCATTCTGATGGAGACGTATAGTGTGAGCGGACACAGTTGTACCCTGTGCCTGAAGGCCAGCTTGGATTTGTCTGGAATTTATCGAGGTTCTTTTTGGTGTCACACCAATACAAACAAAAGAAATAAACATGGGAATGCCAAAACATTTGTAGTCACAACAATTTTCTGTCCATGACTGTAGAAGAAATCCGGGGCTGCCTCAACTCACGGAACTCCATCTGCAAATTAAATATCATTTCTGGGTGGACGTCTCCTTTAAGCTTTGGTTGGCCACCCTCCCAGGGGGCGGCCTGACCGATTGGAAACTCGGGCACTGCCCATGAGCCCGCTGTCAGTAGGGGGCCCCATGAGATGCCCCTGGTACTTTTTTCATAGGCTTTTTTGAGTTTGGGCAAGGACACAGGGGCCCCATGATCCCCTATTGCCGGGGGCCCCATGAGTAGTCAGTCCACCCCTGCACCCTCCTGTCCTATCATTGGTTACTATGCAGCTTCTGGTGTGTTTACTCGCTTACAATACATATTTGGCAATGTTGGCTTTGCGTTTCTTTGTAGTTCGTTCTTTTGTTATGGATTTCCTTTGTCTTTGGAGTGGTGAGGTGTTCCACCTGTGATTGTCTCAAGTGACAGTTGAATGTATGAACACATCCTGCCAGCCATAGGAGTCAGAGAACCCTTCCATTGTCCAGGGGCCCCGGAGGTCAAGGCCTTGTGCCTGCTCTGGAAAGCTACAGCCGGGTCACCTGACCATCTGTCTGCCTCGTCCTGAAGAACGCCGATTGCGTACCTAAACCCCAAAACCAAAAATGTCACAAATCGCAGCTTACCGTTCTGCATTCGTTTTCTTCTTTAAGTGTTCACACTGTGCGGTGCGACTCCTGTGTGAATTACATGCAAATGTCTGAGCTGTGCAATTCGAGCCATACATTATATATGGCTCAAATCGCATCGCATCCGCACCACAAAGGTGTAGGACCCTTTTTTAAATCCGCACCCGAATTGCATGGGTGATCTCATCTAATTTATCATCGTCATTCGCACCAGATCATATGAACGCCATTGCAGTGCGGGAAACGTACTGGATTTGCAGAGTTTCCTGCACACCACATTGGTGTGAACCTGGGATAAAGCGGTATTAAACCGCACCCAAATCGCAGTGGTGTTCTCACCCATGCAATGCGATTTCCGGCAATAGCATTGAGATCTGTTTTTCGAGGTGTCATTAATTTATAAGGCGAGATGCGATTGCAATGCAGTGCGAAAAACACACAGGATTCGCAGTGTTTCTCGCACCGCATTGGTGTGAACCCAGGCTAAAGCAGTATTAAACCGCACCTAAATCGCAGTGGTGATCTCCCCCATGCAATGCGATTTCCGGCAATAGCATTGAGATCTGTTTTTCGAGGTGTCATTAATTTATCATCGACACCCGCATTAGATCGCATAAACGTGATTGCAGTGCGGGAAACGCACAGGATTCGCACAGTTTCCCGCACCGCATTGGTGTGAACCCAGGCTAAAGCAGTATTAAACCGCACCTAAATCGCAGTGGTGATCTCCCCCATGCAATGCGATTTCCGGCAATAGCATGAGATCTGTTTTTCGAGGTGTCATTAATTTATCATCGACACCCGCATTAGATCGCATAAACGTGATTGCAGTGCGGGAAACGCACAGGATTCGCAGAGTTTCCTGCACCACATTGGTGTGAACATGCGCTAAAGCGGTATTAAACTGCACGTGAATCGCATGGGTGATCTCACCTATGCAATGCGATTTCTGGCAATAGCATTGCGATCTGTTTTTCAAGGTGTCATTAATTTATCATCGATACTCGCACCAGATTGCATGAACGAGATGCGATTGAAATGCAGTGCGGGAAACATACAGGATTCGCAGAGTTTCCCGCACCGCACTGGTGTGAAGCAGTATTAAACCGCACCTAAATCGCAGTGGTGATCTCCCCCATGCAATGCGATTTCTGGCAGTAGCATTGAGATCTGTTTTTCGAGGTATCATTAATTTATAATCGTCATTCGCACCAGATCACATGAACACAATTTCAGTGCAGGAAACGCATAGGATTCGCAGAGTCTCCCGCACCGCATTGGTGTGAGCCCGGGATAAAGCGGTATTAAACCGCACCTAAATCGCAGTGGTGATCTCCTCCATGCAATGCGATTTCCGGCAATAGCATTGAGATCTGTTTTTCAAGGTGTCATTAATTTATCTTTGACACCCACACCAGATCGCATTAACGCGATTGCAAGGCGGGAAAAACGCACAGGATTCGTAGATTTTCCCGCACCGTCTTGGTATGAACCCGGGATAAAGCGGTATTAAGCCCAAAAGCAAACATTTATTATATTGCAGCTTACCAACTCTTAGATGTGACGGCTGCATTAGTTATCCTTTTTAGGCTTTATAGCTGCATATTTCTATGATATATTTAACAGACCCCATAGCAGCTAATAAGAGAAGGTCATTGTTGGGGTTCAATACATTTTAAAACCTGCCATGTGATTATGGATGTCTGATGGTTGCATAGTTACTATATGTTGCTTTTTTTTCTTTCATAGAGACGAGTTAGCATTGACCTCGAGCCGCAGAAAGGAAGGCAAAGTAAAGGCGTGAGCTGGCAAAACACAGGTGAGATCTTGTCCTGAACCTTGTCAGTGGTGCACCACTTAAAGGAAGAGCCCCATCCCTGCTATTTGTTTTAGTTTTGGAGTACAGAATGGCTAGAACACCTCCCTGTTTAAAATATTAAAAAAATATTGAATCGATCCGAATTCATTGTAATAAATGGCTGGTTCTATTCTGTTTGAAATTCCAACTTTGGAAGACAATAATATTCTTTCTATTTTATTTTATTCTATTCTTTTATTTTCTATTCTATTTTTTTTATTCTATTCTTTTCTGTTTTATTCTATTCTGTTCTTTTTTAAATTCACATTCCAGATGTTCTTTCTGTTTTATTCTATTATATTATTTTCTATTCTATTTCTTTCTTTTCTATTCTATGTTATTTTATCATATTATATTCTATTCTATTCCGTTTTATGCTATTCTATTCGGTTTTATTCTATTCTTTTCAAAATTCAAAGTTCGGATAATGAATATGTTCTTTTTTTTTCATTTTTTCTACTCTATTCTATTATTTTCTATTCTATTACTTTATTTTCTATTCTATTTTAGTCTTTTATGTTCTATTCTATTTTTTTCTTTTTTACGAAAAATTTTTCTTTTCTATTCTATTCTATTCTGTTGTATTCTTTTCTATTATTTTATTTTCCATTATATTTCTTCTATTCTATTCTGGGGTTTTTTTTTCTATTCTTTTTGAAATTAAAATATTGGAAGATGGCTATGTTCTTTCAATTTTATTCTATTATTTTCTATTCTATTTTATTTTACTCTTTTATGTTCTATTATATTCTTTTCTGTTTTACGCTATTCTTTTTTGTTTTATTCTATTCTGTTTTATTCTATTCAAGTTTCAGAAGCTGGCTATATTCTTTCTATTCTATTCTATTTTATTTTTTTCATTTTCTATTCTATTCTTTTCTATTCTATTCTGTTTTATTCTATTATATTCTTTTCGAAATTCAGAATTCGGAAATGCCTATATTCTTTCTATTTTATTTTATTCTATTTTAGTCTATTATTTTCTATTTAATTTTTTAATTTTCTATTCTATTTTATTCTTTTATTTTCTATTCTATTCTCCTCTGTTGTACGCTATTTTTTTCTGTTTTATTGTATTCTGTTTTATTCTTTTTGAAATTTGAATTTCAGAAGACAGCTATATTCTATTTTATTCTATTCAAATCTATTCTATTTTTTTCTATTCTGTTTTATTCTATTCTTTTCAAAAGCTAGTTCACTCTGAATCTGGTGCGCCTTTGCATGGCAGCCAATCAGCTTCTAACCTCAGCTTGTTCAATTAAGCTTTAGCAATAAAACCTGGCAGCGGATTGGTTTCTATGCAGAAGTGCACGGGATTCTGAGTGAACCAGGTTTAGTAAATAAACCCCATAGTCTTTGAAAGAAATCTGCAGTATGTTTACATTTCGAATTTGTTTTCGAATTTGATTTGAATTCTATTCCAATTTTTGGCAAATTTAATTTTATTATTTTGGATTGGTTCAAATTTGTTACTACTGTAATTCTGATACACCCGAATCTTGATTAATGAAAATTTTGGTCGACTTTCGATTCGGAACAAAATGAACCGTACATGTCTAATCTTCTGAAATCAGGGATTTCCGAGTCCCAGGCTCAGAACAAATACGGAGCTGGTGACTCAGAAAGCCAGGCAAGAAGCATTTTCAGAAGGAGGTCAGCAGTGCAGCTTATGTATTTCCCTTAGGCTGGCCATACATTATGCAATTTTCTTCTTCAATTTCCTTTAGCTTTACCTTCATCTATGTAGTGCAAGGACCAAGGGCGGACTGATAACTCATGGGGCCCCCGGGCATTAGGGGATCATGGGGCCCCTGTATCCTCGCCCACACCCAAAAAAGCCTATGAAAAAGCCAATGAAAGGTATCAGGGGCATCTCAGGGGCCCCCTACTGACCCTGGGCCCTCGGGCAGTGCCGAGTGCTTGAATGGTCAGTCCGCCCCTGGCAAGGACCTGCCTGATGGCATACAAGTTGAAAGTGTTGTTTTGATCTTAAATTGTATGGTTTTGGTAAATTTGAGGGAAAAAATTGTACAAGAAAATTGTACAATGCATGGCCAGTCTTATGTCGGGTGTTCTTCAATTTTATAGATTTTAGCCTGGGTTCACACATGTGTGGTGCGGCATATAATTCACCCAGGAACCGCACTGCACTCCTCTGCAATTCACATGCGAATTCTGTGCGTTGCGATTTGAGCCATACATTTGCACGCTCCGCCTCCGCACCAAAAAGGTGCAGGACCCTTTTTTTTGGCCCGCACTAGAATCATATCGCATGGGAATTCACACCTATCCAATCCGGTTCTGCACATCGCACCGCGTTTTGCGGACCGATTTCGGGGTGTTGTTAACATATACACCCGCAGCGGGGTGCAATTGTGATGCGGTGGGAATTTGCACATAAACCGCTGAGAATTCCGCGCTGTATCAGTGTGAACCCGGGCTCATCTTTAACAAAGGCCAACGCTCTCTTATCTCTCCTGATCAGCATCGATCGTGATAACTGCGGACTCGGAGGACGAGTGTTCGAACATTGAGGTAGAAGAGGACGAGGGTATCACCTTTGTGGCTCGAGCGACGGATGAGATCCTTCAGGGGGTTTCGGGGTGACAGGTGAGAAGATCTGCGAAGGAAGGGGGGCGGTAAAAATACACAGAAATCTTATACTGTCTTGGCATTTGCCCGTCTTCTGCTTATTGCTGTCAAACAGAAATATGACCCACCATCCCTTCATGATTACACTGCTTATCATATGAAAGTATATCTGACGCCAATCCTAAATTTTGGGCGGCGTTAGGAAGGATTAAACCCCCTGTTAAGTACTTTTCAAGGGTTCGTTTACACTCGCTTCAAAATGTGGCGTTGGACACGCTTTTTTTTTAAAGCGCTCTGAATGCCAATCGAATCTCCTGTCACTAAATGAGGCTACTTTACAGTCCTGTAAATCGATTTGCTTTGATTTGCTCCACTCCGTGTCGCTTTCTTGGCGCTTCAAAGCGTCTCCAAAGCCTCCATAGAAGTCTATGACAAAGCCCGCTAACAGCACCCTCAGCTTTTGAGGGGCTTTTATTCGGTTTGTTTTGGAGGTATTGCAGGTATGAGATATCCCAGGATGCACTGGGAGACCAACAAGTGAACCGGAAAGATGTCAGCAGCAGTTAGCAGGGGTCCAAGGAGAGAGAACTGATGGCAGAGGAGCAGCAGAGCTGGGGGGGACAGGAGCAGGAGCAGGAGAAACCAGATGTCACACGTGGTGCGCAATATAGTGGGAGCTGAGCGGGGACCGGAGAGAGAGAGAGGAGGATCAGCAAACCAGAGGATAAGAAGAGCTGGGGGTTACTACTGAGTGGGAAATCAGCAGAGCTGAGTGCTACTACTGAGCAGGGGATCAGCAAAGCTGAGGGTACTACTGAGCGGGGCATCAGAAGAGCTAGGGGTACTACTGAACAGGGGATCTGCTGAACGAGGGTACTAATAAGTTGGGGATCTGCTGAATGGGGATACTAATGAGCTGGGGATCTGCTGAACAGGGATACTAATGAGCTGGGGATCTGCTGATCAGGGATACTAGAGAGTTGCGCATCTGCTGAACGAGGGTACTAATAAGCTGGGGATCTGCTGAACGGGGATACTAATGAGCTGAGGATCTGCTGAACAAGGGTACTAATAAGCTGGGGATCTGCTGAACAGGGGTACTAATGAGCTGGAGATCTGCTGAACAGGAGTACTAATGAGCTGGGGATCTGCTGAATGAGAATACTAATGAGCTAGGGATCTGCTGAACAGGGATACTAATGAGCTGGGGATCTGCTGAACAGGGATATTAATGAGCTGGGGATCTGCTGAATGAGGGTTCTAATAAGCTGGATATCTGCTGCACGGGATACTAATGAGCTGGGGATCTGCTGATCAGGGATACTAGTGAGCTGCGGATCTGCTGAACGAGGGTACTAATAAGCTGGGGATCTGCTGAACGGGGATACTAATGAGCTGAGGATCTGCTGAACAAGGGTACTAATAAGCTGAGGATCTGCTGAACAGGGGTACTAATGAGCTGGGGATCTGCTGAACAGGGATACTAATGAGCTGGGGATCTGCTGAATGAGGGTACTACTAATGAGCTCGGGATCTGCTGAACGGGGATACTAATGAGCTGGGGATCTTCTGAACAAAAGTTCTAATAAGCTGGATATCTGCTGAACGGGGATACTAATGAGCTGGGGATCTGCTGAACAGGGGTATGAATAAGCTGGGGATCTGCTGAACAGGGGTACTAATAAGCTCAGGATCTGCTGAACAAGGGTACTAATAAGCTGGGGATCTGCTGAATGGGGATACTAATGAAATGGGGATCTGCTGATCAGGGATACTAATGAGCTGGGGATCTGCTGAACGGGGATACTAATGAGCTGGGGATCTGCTGAACAAGGGTACTAATAAGCTGGGGATCTGCTGAACAGGGGTACTAATGAGCTGGAGATCTGCTGAACAGGAGTACTAATGAGCTGGGGATCTGCTGAATGAGAATACTAATGAGCTAGGGATCTGCTGAACAGGGATACTAATGAGCTGGGGATCTGCTGAACAGGGATATTAATGAGCTGGGGATCTGCTGAATGAGGGTTCTAATAAGCTGGATATCTGCTGCACGGGATACTAATGAGCTGGGGATCTGCTGATCAGGGATACTAGTGAGCTGCGGATCTGCTGAACGAGGGTACTAATAAGCTGGGGATCTGCTGAACGGGGATACTAATGAGCTGAGGATCTGCTGAACAAGGGTACTAATAAGCTGAGGATCTGCTGAACAGGGGTACTAATGAGCAGGGGATCTGCTGAACAGGGATACTAAGGAGCTGGGGATCTGCTGAATGAGGGTACTAATAAGCTGGGGATCTGCTGAACAGGGGTACTAATGAGCTGGGGATCTGCTGAACGGGGATACTAATGAGCTGGGGATCTTCTGAACAAAAGTTCTAATAAGCTGGATATCTGCTGAACGGGGATACTAATGAGCTGGGGATCTGCTGAACAGGGGTATGAATAAGCTGGGGATCTGCTGAACAGGGGTACTAATAAGCTCAGGATCTGCTGAACAAGGGTACTAATAAGCTGGGGATATGCTGAATGGGGATACTAATGAAATGGGGATCTGCTGATCAGGGATACTAATGAGCTGGGGATCTGCTGAACGGGGATACTAATGAGCTGGGGATCTGCTGAACAGGGGTACTAATGAGCTGGGGATCTGCTAGGTGGGTTACTACTGAGGCTGGGTTCTAATGGGCCCCTTTCAAACAAATAGATAATCAACACACACGGGGCATTTGCCAAGCTTCGTTAAAGCTTCAAAAAAGCATCACCAGATCATCATCATTCACTGAAGCATCAAAAACACAGGAAATTTTCTACCCCCACTAGCCACAATTTGCACCCCCCCCCACCCTCTCCCAACATCTGAAGGATAGAAAAATGGCCCTTTGAAAAGTTTGGAGACCCGTGGTGCAACTCATCTCATAACTAGAAACCCCCCCCCCCCCCCCCCCCCCGTCCCCCCAACACTAAATGTATTGTTAATGATTGAAGTCTGACAAAAATTTAATGTTCACAGGAATGCTGGGAGTCTGTCAAAGTCCTCGTCTTGTGCCACCATCCCCAACCATGGCTGAGAAGGTGCTGCCATGGAAAGGAGACCCAGATCAGAACACAGTGTGCATCTCTTCAGAGACTACAAAGATCGTCCCCGTGGATCTCAAGAGGTCCTGGAAGCAGAGCATCTCCTCTCTAGAGAGTATTAGTTCTCCTCCAGCTCCTGACCTACAGGTAGACGCAGCCAGGTGTTTGAGACAAGATCTCCGCAGTCCTCCTGGCCTTCAGACTCTCCCGGAGACCTGTAGCTGTTTTCCTTTTAATAATTCTCCATCACAAGGTGGTAGAAGTCATCAAGACCCAACAGATATCCAGCATCAAGAACTGCAACCCTTAATGCCTAGGGATGAGGGTTCTGGATATAGTTCTCAGTCCAGCAGACACAGTCATAGCAAAAGACTGTTGCAGTTGCATCGGCCCTCTAAAATCTGATACTGTGTGGGTGGCTGAAGCCTGGCCAAGAAGAATTTGACATATCAGTGCAAGGGGAGACTTTGGTCTTGCAGGTTAAGGCCCAAAGTTGGCTCTATAAGGTATGAGGCTTTGGAGTAGCAGTGTTGGACCTTAGCTGTACAATCATCTACAGGGAATATCTGAATATTCAATCCTAAAGCAAACCTTTGTTTTACCCCTTTAGGGCAAAGCAACAGGTCCATTTCCGTAACCCCTTCCGTATCCACCATGAGTTAAGAGAATACAAGCACTTCCGTGTATGGAAGTATGCTTGGTGATTGGCCCTGCACTGTCACATGGCGGTGGTAGGGAAAGGTTCACTGGAGTCATTCTAGTCCTCTATATTGCACATACAAAGCACAGGTCCACTTTATAAGGTAACAAGTGTGCAGATTTACCATGAAAGCTTCCCACACGTAGTCCCGAGATGGGATCACTGCTGTCACCTCCTAATTGGGTACACCTCTCCCGGGTTCCCTGGGGGGATAGCATCACTCCATCAATGGCCTAGTCCCACCTCCATAAGGGTCAGGAAGCCTACAGCCGGTTCTTCTGGATGCAGGTCTACCTCTCTCCAGTTTCCAACCTGTTCAGGGCCTCCACTGGCTGACTACATCTACCTAGATTTGGGGTGTTTGGCTTCCATACACCAACTGCCCTAGGGCTCCCATACCCCAACTGCACTATGGTTCCCATACCCCAACTGTCCTAGGGCTCCCATACCCCAACTGCCCTATGGTTTCCATACCCCAACTGCACTATGGTTCCCATACCCCAACTGCCCTAGGACTCCCATACCCCAACTGCCCTAGGGCTCCCATACCCCAACTGCCACTAGGGTTCCCATACCCCAACTTCCCGTTAGTTCCCATACCCCAACTTCACTATGGTTCCCATACCCCAACTACCCCGTTATGGTTCCCATACTACCCCAACTGCCCTAGGGCTCCCATACCCCAACTGCACTATGGTCTCCCATTCTCATACTCCCTACTTCCCTAGGGCTCCCATACCCCAACTGCACTATGGTTCTCATACCCCAACTGCCCTAGGGGTTCCCATACCCCAACTGCCCACTATGGTTCCCATACCCCAACTGCCCTAGGGCTACCATACCCCAACTGCCCTATGGTTCCCATACCCCCAACTGCCCTAGTTCCCATACCCCAACTGCCCTAGGGTTCCCATACCCCAACTGCACTATGGTTCCATACCCCCCAACTGCACTATGGTTCTCATACCCCTACTGTCCTAGGGCTCCCATACCCCAACTGCACTATGGTTCTCATACCCCAACTGCCTTAGGGCTCCCATACCCCAAGTGCAGTATGGTTCCCATACCCCAACTGCACTATGGTTCCCATACCCCAACTGCCCTAGGGCTCCCATACCCCAACTGCTCTAGGGCTCTCTCTGCAGCAGCTGAAAGCCAGAGGTAGGGAGATGAGAAGAAGCCCAATTACTGAAACCGATCCCCTGTATGGCTCTCTTTCTGCAGCAGCTGAAAGGCAGAGGGAGGGAGAGGAGAAGAAGCCCAATTGCTGGAACAGATCCCCTGTATGGCTCTCTCTGCAGCAGCTGAAAGCCAGAGGGGGGAGAGGAGAAGAAGCCCAATTGCAGGAACCGATCCCCTGTATGGCTCTCTCTACAGCAGCTGAAAGCCAGAGGGAGGGATAGGAGAAGAAGCCTAATTACTGGAACCAATCCCCTGTACGGCTCTCTCTGCAGCAGCTGAAAGGCAGAGGGAGGGAGAGGAGAAGAAGCCCAATTGCTGGAACCAATCCCTGTATGGTTCTCTCTGCAGCAGCTGAATCCCAGAGGGGGGAGAGGAGAAGATGCCCAATTGCTGGAACCGATCCCCTGTATGGCTCTCTCTACAGCAGCTGAAAGCTGGCTTCTTCTCCTCTCCCTCCAGCTGGCTGTCAGCTGCTGCAGAGAGAGCTGTACAGGGGATCGGTTCCAGTAATTGGGCTTCTTCTCCTCTCCCTCCCTCTGGCTTTCAGCTGCTGCAGAGAAGAACCATACAGAGGATCGGTTCCAGTAATTCCGACCCCCCCCCCCCCCCCCCCCCCCCCCCCCATCGTGCCAATCACCCTCCCTGCCCACATCCGATTCATCCAGCTGCCTGGGCCCCCTTGCAGGCCTGAGTCCCGTATAGAGGACTGGTGGTACCCCCGTATCCTTGGCCCTGGTTACAGCAGTAGATGAGGATGGTGGGGAAAGGTAGGTATAATCTGCTGGTAGGTAGTAGTCCAGGCAAATTATGGGTGCAAATGTAAATCTTTAATTAAATTCTGCTTAACGGTAAGTATTTCAGACTGAATATTCTGATATTTGCATAAGTCTAGCCATGACCGGTTCTTGCTCTAAGGCCTAGACCCATAGATACCAGAACACACGCCGTAATGGTAAGACAACAGAAAACAGAGATCTGATTAGCGACGGTGATTTTGCTGCAGTTTGCACATCCTCTTTGCAATTTGCACTGCCTTGTGCGGACTGACCCTTTAAGGTCTTCTCATGCTGTTGGAGGACCGACCCTTTAGGGTCTTCTCATGCTTGTTGGAGGACCCACCCTTTAGGGTCTTCTCATGCTTGTTGGAGGACCGACCCTTTAAGGTCTTCTCATGCTTGTTGGAGGACCCACCCTTTAAGGTCTTCTCATGCTTGTTGGAGGACCGACCCTTTAAGGTCTTCTCATGCTTGTTGGAGGACCCACCCTTTAAGGTCTTCTCATGCTTGTTGGAGGACCGACCCTTTAAGGTCTTCTCATGCTTGTTGGAGGCCCAGCACTTGTGAGAACCTCCAGCGGAGACGTAAATGCTCAGAAACAGATGAAGAACGAGATTGAGTCGCTCACAACTGTGAGCCAAGCATGGATTTGGACTGCGAAAGAACACTTTTCTGTTTTGATTTTAGATTGTTAATTTTTTGATTTATAGATTGTTCATCTTCATGGGTACGCCATTCCACCCTCTTGGTGCTTGTTGATGAAACGCTGCCTTGGTCCACGTGTATAAGAGGAGGTCATAGAGGTGACCAAAGCAATAGAAAAGTGCCAAAACCAACACTTTGTAATATTTATGTTGGTGTGTAGATAAAACTACAAGGAGAGGTAATATATAGAACACACTAGGGACCCGTTTATTATTGTTACCTGCAGCTTTGAATCCGGCTTTTTGTTTGTACCAGCGGCACAAGATGTCCTCGTTGCTGCCGCTGACATGCGCAGTGAATCAGTACTGGTCTTTTAGGGAGTTTTGTTCTTCTGCTCAATTTTCAGCAATGACCCTCAAGCCTGTTCAGCTCTATATATCTGCCTGCCCACCAGTTGCCGTGAGAACTGATATCCGGCAAGATTTGGCACCTTTATCTCTTAATTACCAAAAAGACACTACACTATAAGGCCAAGTTTGTGGACAACTGACCATCTCATCTCCTCTGCCCAGGGATGCTGTTAGAAACCACGGGGCCCCATACAGCTATCCTAACAAGGCCCCCCTATGCCCACAAAAAAGCACAGTTTACTATGCTTCAGTTATAAATGAACACAGTGAGTGATCGGTACTTATCACTCATTGTGTTCATTCAGGAAAGTTTGTGGACAACTGACCATGTCATCTCCTCCGAGGGCTGCTGTTAGAAACACACGGGGCCCCTTACAGCCAACCTGACAGCCCCCCCCCAAACCACAGGGCCCCATACAGCCAACCTAACAAGGCCCCCCCATGCCCACAAAAAAAGCACAGTTTACTATGTTTCAGTTATGAATGAACACAGTGAGTGATTGGTGCTGATCACTTATTGTGTTCATTCAGGAAAGGAAGGGCCTGGTAAATGTGACATATATACCGAACCCTTCCCCCGCTCTCCATCCTGAAGGATCCTATTATGTGCTCGCAGCTGCTGGTGAGAGGGAGAGGAGGGGAGCCGACAGCACTGCGGGGGTGGGGGCACACAGGGGGGGCCTGGGCAGCAGGGGGAAATTTATGGTGCACAGGGAGGGTGATGGGTGTGGTGTGGGGCAATTACTGGAACCAATCCCCTATATGGTTCTCTCTGCCCAATTGCAGGAACCGATCCCCTGTATGGCTCTCTCTGCAGCAGCTGAAAGCCAGAGGGAGGGAGAGGAGAAGAAGCCCAATTGCTGGAACCGATCCCCAGTATGACTCTCTGCAGCAGCTGAAAGCCAGATGGAGGGAGAGGAGAAGAAGCCCAATTGCTGGAACCAATCCCCTGTATGGCTCTCTCTGCAGCAGCTGGAAGCCAGAGGGAGGAAGAGGAGAAGAAGCCCAATTGCTGGAACGGATCCCCTGTATGGCTCTCTCTGCAGCAGCTGGAAGCTGGCTTCTTCTCCTCTCCATCTGGCTGGCTTTCAGCTACTGCAGAGAGAGCCGTACAGGGGATTGGTTCCAGAATTGCCCCCCCCCCCCCCCATCGTGCTAATCACCCTCCCTGACCACATCCAATTTGTGCCAGCTGCCATTCAGGGATGGAAGAGGCTGGTAAATTACTGGGACTGATCCCCTGTATGTTTCTCTCTGCAGCAGCTGACAGCCAGCTCTGGAGCGGGGGGCGGGGGAGAGGAGAACAACCCAACTTTCAGCTGCTGCAGAGAGAGCCATGCAGGGGATTGGTTCCAGTAATTGCCCCGTTAACCCTTCCCGCTCACATCCGATTCACCCAGTTTGCCTGGGCCCCCTTGCAAGCATGGGCCCCGTACAGGAGGATTGGTGGTACCCCCTTATTCATGGCCCTGCCTCCTCCTATTGGAGGTATTCTGCCCCGACCAATCTCTGAGCACCATCACTTGTCTCCGCCCCCTATTCACCTCCTAGTACCGCTCCTCATTGTGTGGTGTTAGGTAATTTGTATGGCACTGGTTAATAAGAATATAATTCCCCTACCCTCAGCAACAACAGATCCCATCCAGCAACAATAGATCATTTCCCAGCAACAATAGATCCACCCCCTGGAAC